AGTATTATGCCAGGCCTTTGAGTCTCTTGAATTTTACTAACTTTCCTCAAGCTTTGTCATGTAATTTGCTGTATTCCTCCGAACAGGATTACACCTATGGTGTAGTGGTTTAGTATGTAAAGTCTCTTTGTGCTTGCACTTTTATTCATAGAGACATTAATATAGTGTTGTGTTGAGAGTGTGCAATAATTTGTGTTGACTGAACTTGTGTAATGTGGAACTGTACCACTAGAGGTCCCCAGAGGTTCCATAGAGGATAAGAAAAGATGTAAGAAAAAGAAGGATGAGAGCACAGTAATGTTCATCCTCTATAAGCATTGTAGTAGTAGGTTCCTGTTTTGCATTATTTTCTGACACTGTAATTGTTGAGATATCTTGCTTCACATTGCTTGAGACGTTGAACTTCTTTTCACTTGCTTGATCCACTGCAGTCGTGCCATGCCTTTTGGCCTTCTTTGGCTGCTTATTTTTAGGACTGGTACTGATGTTGGGACAGAGTAAAACTTAGACTGTCATTGGCCCATTATTCCTCTGCAAATTTAATGTCCTTTAAATTCAGAGGTTTTTGGAGAAGTTTTATGTCCATGCAGGGGCGCATTAACGCACGGGCTTTAAGGGTCTGAAGCCCAGAACTGCAAAATTATAAAATTATATTTTTTGAATAATTATTTATATGGGTTTATAAATATAGCAGTGACAACAGCATTCTGTAAACAAACTCACACATTCGTTTTCAGCGACGCCCTGCTTGTAGTATATGTAGTGAATGGTTAAGTTTAGGTTTAGTTGGTATGTTCCACCGATATAGTGTGAGCGAATACACATTGCGCTAGTAAAGAAGCCTAGTATGAGCGCTGTTCTGTGTGTGCGTCTCTATGTTAATGTGCAGCTTAACAAGAAACACAAGACTGCTGTGTGAAAAGAACCGGACCGGACAACTTTCTGTAACGTCATACAGTGCGACTTCAGTCTTTTACAAATGCGTGGATATTATCTGTGTGTAGAGTGGGGAAGGGGAGTAGGGGCGGGCAAGGATCTGTTGCGGTTTCAAAGCCGAGTTAATTTCTAGGTTCATTCATTCTTCATAGTGTTAATTTTTGGGTAGAACAGGTTTTCCATTCAATATTTAACTCTAAATCTAGAGACTGTGCAATTTTAGTGCATAAATCTGTCCCGTTTGTAGCCTCTGATACTATTGTAGATCATAAAGGAAGACACATTATTGTATCAGAGCCTGATTTTGCAGATCCTATGAGCTTTCCAGGATTTTATGAAGTGAGCCTGGCAGACCAAGAAGTATGCAAACAAAACCTGGCTGTACTCATTAAAGCTTACAAGAGTCCACCAGAGGAAATGGGTATGGCATGAATTTGCACTGTTAAGCTTTTTTAAAGTTTTACAGTAATAAATTTCTTAGCATTTACATCAATCTGTTTGGTAACTGCTACATGTTATGCATTCAGTGTTATCAATATATTGGTTAAGTACGAGTTTTGGCTTGCAATTGTATTTAATATGTATGATATTAGTTTTCCTATGTACAGATTTTATTTGTTGAGGTCAGATGTACTACTGACTGCAGAGTTCAACACAGTTATGTGTGTTCACAGAACCCCCTGAGACGTCCATCTATCCAAGGAACGATGTGCAGCTGGCTGTTGAAAACACGCTCATCTGTCACGTGACAGGCTTCTTTCCTCCACCTGTCAATGTCTCATGGACTAAGAACAATGTCGTTGTGACAGAAGGCGTGAGTCTGAGTCAGTACCGACCGAGGAGCGATGGTACCTTCCATGTGTTCTCCTCTCTGAAGATCACTCCTGAAGAGAGAGACATTTACAGCTGCACAGTGAACCACCGAGCCCTCCAGGGCCAACCGCAGACCAAAATATGGAGTAAGAGCCGTTTACTAATTAAATCAAAATACAATCAATTTTGTTATCACCAGTTGTTTTTTGCATGAACGATGTATGTGTAAAAACAACAGTAATCATTCTGTGACAAATGAAATACCAAGAGCTGAGTGGATTTCGACAATAAAAAGCTGTTCTAACATTCACACACCTTACCCTAATCCCCAGGTGTCCCGGAGGCGG